ACACACACACACACACACACACACACACACACACACACACACACACACACACACAAACACATACACATACACAAACACACAAACAAGTACTACATGTACTTTTTATCTAAATGTAATTTAGATACAGCAAATGACAAATGACATAGCTTGAGAAGTTGAGATTATAATTTGAGGACGTACCAGAACCTGCTCCGGCTCCTCCTATCGCATGCGCTGTCCGGGCCTGACATGCACACACACGCACACACACACACACACACAGACTGAGTACTTTTTGTCTAAAGATAAACTAGATACTGTAACAGTAAAACGACAAATGACATCAATGGCTTGGGACGCACCAGAACCTGCTCAGGCTCCTCCTCGCGCATGCGCTGTCCAGGTGTGATGACGTCTGGTGTCTCGGTGATCTCGCTGGAGGCGTCATCATCCGGGGACTGCAGGTACGTCCGGAACAGGAACAAGAACAGCGTCAGCGCCAGGACACCTATCCCAGCAGCCACCACGATCACCTCCCATCCCGGCACCGCCACTGAAGGAAAGAAAATCGTTAATCAGTCACTTAATTAGCTTTGCAACTGAATCAATTACCAAGTGAGTTGTGGTTCGGTAAAGGTATCAATCTATCTACTTAAAATGCAACTTTCTATTGCTATATAATAGTACTTAGGCCACACCAATTTAATTTGTTGGTTCTCGGATTCACCTCTTCATTTTTTCTGATTTGCAAAAAAAAAAAAGATTCTGGTTCTGAATCAACTAAAAAATGCTCATATTTTGCCCCCAACAGTTGTGGAAAGTCCTTTTCTTCCTAGCTGTTGCAGTGTTTCCATCTATCAATGCAGTGGTTTGATTAAAAGTTCAAAATTCATTGTTTAAATATTAACACAACCTTTTGTGTTGACTTCATGGCTCCTATCATAGCATTTGGGGCTATAATAGGATGCCTAAACCTGTTTTTATTTTTATTTTTTTTTGCCCTGTCGCTTCATGTTTTTTCTGACAAAATCCGAGAACCAACAAATCAAATTTGGTGTGGCCTTAGTATCTTAATGATCCTATAGATGGAATCGCATAATCATACTGCCATATCCAGAGTTGTCCCTGAACATTTCAAATTCGCTTGGAATGTCAGAAAAAGAAAAAAAAAGAAAATTAATGTGTCCTCTTTGGGCAGTAGCCAGAGAATTTGCAAAGGACTTTACCACTCTTCGGACAAAAGTGTGGTTACAGCTCTTTTAGCCAATTCAGGTAGCTTCCAGCAGTTGGTGGATGCCATGTTGTCATCATGGTAATGACATCATTTGTACTCTTTGATACCCATAGTGCCAGTATGCAACGGGATCGCTGACAATCAACTAGTTTAAGTGATATTAGAAACTCTTTCAATTGGTATCTCAAGGAAGCTGTGCAGCAACAGTCACACAGCTCCATCTGGTGGAGTGCAAAGGTACTGCAGGCTTTCAAAGCAAGTGTCCTCTATTGGAAAATCATTTTCGCGGAGACCGGCATAATTTGCCTGGACGGCGGCAAGTCTGGTGGGATCTATCACCTTGCTATTCGGGTCAGACGGGGCGTGAAGGAAAGGATCGATGGGAACCATTCGTTTGGTGAAAATGTCAATCAATCAAGTAGATGGCTACTCAAGCAAGCCGGCACTAAACCGACATCGACGACAATTTGACATGAAAGAGGCGTCATATCTACAGAGCTTTTAATGCTGATTTCTTGATAGCGTAATAGCCATCTTTGATTGGAAGTAGAGCATGGAAAATACAGATATAGGATTCTGCAGTACACGGCTTTCCTGGCTGGAGCGCTTCGCTCAGCTTCTAACCACGTTATTGGAGGAACATTTAATCAAGTTTCAACATTGAAATTAATGCACGGTACGACTAATTGAAAGTGGCACGATTGAACTTAGTGCAAGAATGCTACATCGTACCCTTATATAGTGGTGCATACCGGTTCACTGGACTTGGATCCGGACTTGTAAGAATGTTTAGGTTCAAGTAAAAAAAACCCTAAAAGTCAAGGACTAAGTCCGGACTTATTACCATAAAAGACCATTTCACATACCCCTTTTCTTTCCAAACCACCTAAAACCTTCGGAATCCGTAGATTGCAAAATCTTTGCTGCAAAATGAAGAAAACATTGTCATTGGGCATCGTCAAGTACCGGCCTCCATGTTATGTGGCCAAAGTTTCACCCAGACAACATTGCAAGGTTGCCAACATGCAATTTTGTATATGCCATGGGTTTAGGTCCGGACTTACAAGTCCGGACCTGAACCTAAAATTGGGTCTAGGTATGCAGCACTTAGCTCACCTTACTTTGTTTACTTCTATGTGATTCCAGCAGCACACTTCTGATGAACATTTGAAATTCATTATTTACAAATTTGCTAGCACACACGCATTGCAATTTAATTATTACTCAGCACAGTTCAATCACCCCATCCCCATTAGTAATGTTCTTTGTTGGTGAAATATTACATGCATCAACAGCTGACAGTGCACGTTAGGCACCTTTCACCAGACATGACATTGGGAATCATCCAGAGATAAAGGAGAGGCCCATTCTTCACTATTGCTCTCTTCGCAATGTTGAAAGGTTGAGCATGCATCACTGTCGTTATTCCATTAGAAGGATGAAGTTGTCTCTTTCATTTATTTTGATACATATTTGAGTGATCATTGCTCCTTAGGCTTCAAGAGATATCAAATGGTTGAACCGTTGCCATCTAGTACATCAAAGCAACCCTTTGCTACATTGGTCGGTTGCCGCACTGTGTGAAAAAAATCTTTAAGCAAATTTAACGAGATACATATTAAAGAGTTGTTACAGGTGGAGAAATATCTCAACGTACTTATCAAAGATTTTGTAAAATCGATTGAAAAGTTGGTCGGATTTATCAAAGATTTTGTAAAATCGATTGAAAAGTTGGTCGGATTAGTGCCACAGACAGCATCAAGTTATTCTTGTTTCTCTGGCAAAGATGTTGTTACAGAGAGAAATGCTTTTGCCCTTCATCAAATACTAAATGTTACTTCTTTTAGCCCCAGGCAGACACTTCAGTGCAGCCCTATGTGCACTCAACATAAAAGCTTCAGCACCCGTTATAGACACTGCCTTTCCATGAGAGAATAAACGAAAGAACAGCAATTACAGTTTTAATGACTTCATTCATTAGCACCGAGATAATTGGATGGTTTCTTCCCAGATCCCGTTTTCTTTCAAGACGTCTTGGTGCTAATTACACTTAAGGGTGAAGATAGCGCTGACAGAGACAAAAGCAGCATCTCTTAAGTCTCTATAATTACTTTGGAGCTGCGTTATAAGTTTGAATGTCACTGATGCTAAAGGATATGTGAGTGCGTGGGTGGGAGTAGTACAATTTTCCTTGCCATATAGATACATGTAAGACTAACAAGAATAACAAGCTTCCATTTACAAGAAAAAACCTATTCTAAACACATTCCTTAACAATTTTATTCATAGTGCAGATGATAATAAAGAAGTTATGATATTGTGTTATATTTGTGCTTATTTATGAAGATTTACCATCCTGACATTAAGGGTCTACAGAACTATTCAAGATGTCTTCAAGACTATTCAAGATGTCAACCCTGAGACTGAACAGTAAGGTTTGAAAGGTTTGCTCTTCAATAAGTGAATGGGATCTTTAACATGCTCAAAGTATCACAGGCTCTCCTTAAACACGGGACCCCAGTATCACGCCCTATCAGAGAGGGAGTCGAGTGAGGAAATGGATGTAAAGTACCAGTACCAGTGGGTGAGTTTCCCATGAACACATTGATGGGGCTTAATCGCCATGGATTCGAACCCAGAACCTTCAGATTCTGAGTAAACACTATTATGTAATCCTGGCCACACGATTAAGACCACCTTCTTATAATTCAGTATTTACCTCTTTCACATTCACTACTAGTACTGGTACTTAGTCTAGAGTGCAGCTCCCATAGCATTGCACCCCAATGGAAAGCATACTAAGCGGCAGCAACAATTTGAATGAGTTTTCTCTTTAGTTCATAAAAAGAGCCTATTTCAAAGAGGGTTATATCTAAAAGGACTTTCACTTAATGACATTTGGTGTCCAAATATCCAGAAGCAACAAGTAGGAGACCTTTACTCACCATTTATGGAAGGCAATTGTTGTTCAATAAAAATCAATCAAATTATCCACACCATGATACAGTTACTATAGTAGCTTAAAGAATATTCTACACCTAATTACTGTGTACAATGTAACCGTTAAAAATCACATCAGATTTGCTGATTTGTTAGTAGCATTTCTTTTAGTCTGTAATTCTATACTTCACTTTAAATGATGCTAACATATTAGATAATATTGATGAGTACATAGGGGTGAAAAGAAGACCTAAGGTCATTTGAAACAAGGCAGAGGGTATCACCCTACTGTTGCCTCTCCCATTTCACTTCATTCTATTCCTTACCAGATATATCATAACGAAGTCCCATGAGAACACTCACAGGAGACCTAATCCAGCAATTATACATGCATACAGTCCGCTTCTTAATGAATAAGGCATTTAACAAGGGAGCATATCTGCAATTTGTATATCATTACATGTTGCTTAAATCCAAGGACGAACATCTTAAAAACAGGGACATACAATGTACAATCACAGAGGTTCATATCAATAACGAAGCAACAGGAAATCTTAAGATGCAACCCTAAAGTCTGTTAAAAGATAACAAAAACACGCGACACGCTTACTTGTTATGATGGTGCCGTGGCGGAGTCCACTGTCTGTTGTGATTAAGCCGGCCGGCTTACCTGGACCGGTTTATTTACCTCGCACGCTGAAGTACAACTACTGCAAAAGAACAGGCTATCCCCCACTGTTACGACTATAGTAGAATTATACGGCTGATGGTAGTAGCATTGCGGTAACAACAATAAAGAAATACAACCGATTCCTGTATGGTTGTAATGGATTTCGTAGTTTTATGAAGAATTTATGATATTGAACGCACCCCGTGTTCAAACAGAAATGGTACCTCCCATTGATGTATTTCCGGTGTACAAGCCGGTTCCTGGATGATGTCATTGCGCGAGGTAGGAATATGATATATAGGTCAACGTATGAATATATTCATGAGCAAACATTTCACAAAACATACATTCAGGTTTTTATATAGAATATTGATAAAAAGAATATTCTTAGAATTGATTTATGTGTTTAACCTAAAGAAATGTTTCCGAGGCCTGGTACTGCTATAGTATATGATATGAAGTATGCTGCAATTTAAAATGACAATCATACATTCAGGTTTAATGTTAACTTTTAATATAAAGAATATTGAATTTGATAAAAAATAATATTTTTGGAATTGATTTATGTTTATAACCTAGTAGGGATATGTCTAAGGCCAGGTACTGGTACATATGATATGAAGTATGCTGCTTATATCTAAACTGACAAGCATGCAGAGAAAAACCGACACAGATGAGGATGAAATACATGGGCTCAGGCCACAGGCTTTGGCAGTACAATTAGAGGCTAACATAGAGTAATGTTACTGATGCCTTAATCTGGCAGCAGACTGTGGTTCGAATCAATAGAAAACCTCAGGTCTGCAGGGAAATGGCGAGATCAGTTCCAACAGGTGGTTCCGGAGTCTCTCGTTCGGTGGTGTCATTTGACGAGGGCTGAATACTAAGCGGGGGATGTTGTTAATCACAGTCCAGTGTATAGATAGAGGAGGAACATCCGGATGGAGGCAACAGTTGTCTTTTTTGGGAACTCAGATGTCGCCCACACACTTATTATAGATAATTGTACACAACAGCAATTCTACATGTAGTTACATTATTTTTTTAATATCACTGCAGTAAAGTACTATGCATATAATCATACATGTACTGAAGTTAATAAAGGGTATATATATTAAGTGAGATAATCCCTGGTCAGTTGCGATAACCAGGGAATAAACCACCGAGTGAGCGTATCGTTGATGTCATTTGATGAGGGCTGAATACTAAGCGGGGGATGCTGTTAATCACAGTCCAGTGCATAGATAGAGGAGGAACATCCGGATGGGAGGCAACAGTTGTCTTTTTTGGGAATTCAAGGCATCGCCCACACACTTAAATGTACACAACCGCATTATATTTTCAACTATTCTAGCTACATATCACCAAAAAATACTAGGTTTATGAAGGAGGGACTGATGCTGTTAATCACAGTGCACAGATAGAGGACGAACATCCAGATGGGAGGCAACAGTTGTCTTTCGGTCCTCCACACACTTAGATGTATGGAACAGCATTATATTTTCCATTCTAGCTATAGTACATATGACTGAAAATGACTACTCAAGCCATGTGTTAATGCATTTTAACATGTCAACATCACAGCTGAGAGATGCTGTTAATCACAGTCCAGTGTACAGATAGAGGATGAACATCCGGATGGAGGCAACAGTTGTCTTTTTTGGGAATTCAGACATCCCACACACTTAGATGTACACAATCAACTGCATTATATTTTCAATTCTAGGCAGTACATATGACTGAAAATGACTACTCAAGCCCTGTGTTAATGCATTTTAACATGTCAACATCACAGCTGAGAGATGCTGTTAATCACAGTCCAGTGTACAGATATTCAGATGGGAGGCAACAGTTGTCTTTCGGGAATTCAGATGTCGCCCACACACTTAGGTACACAACAGCGTTATATTTTCAATTATTCTAGGTACATATCACCGAAAAATACTAGGTTAATGCAAGAGAGAGATACTGTTTATCACAGTCCAGTGCACAGATAGAGGACGAACATCCAGATGGGAGGCAACAGTTGTCTTTCGGGAATTCAGACTCCCACACAACCGCATAATATTTTCAATTATTCTAGCTACGTATCACTGAAAAATACTAGGTTAATACACAATGTACAGTACTCAAACCTTATAACTCAATGTATTTTAACATGTCAACATCACTACTAAGTGGGGGATGCTGTCAATCACAGTCCAGTGCACAGAGGACGAACATCCGGATGGTATGCAACAGTTGTCTTTTTTGGGAATTCATCATCATGATCAGACATTCCCACACACTTAGATGTACGCAACATCATTATATTTTCAATTATTTCACCAAAAAAATACTAGGTTAATGCTGGGAGAGATGCTGTTTATCACAGTCCAGTGCACAGATAGAGGACGAACATCCGGATGGGAGGCAACAATTGTCTTTTGGGAATTCAGACTCCCACACAACCGCATAATATTTTCAATTAGTCTAGCTACATATCACTGAAAAATACTAGTAAGGTTAATACATACTCAAACCATATAACTCAATGTATTTTAACATGATGTCAACATCACTACTAAGCGGGAGATGCTGTCAATCACAGTCCATTGCACAAATAGAGGAGGAACATCCTGGTGGGAGGAAACAGTTGTCTTTTGGGAATTCAGACATCCCACAGACTTAGATGTACACAACCGCATAATATTTTCAATTATTCTAGCTACATATCACTGAAAAATACTAGGTTTATACATACTCAAACCTTATAACTCAATGTATTTTAACATGTCAACATCACTACTAAGCAGGGGATGCTGTCAATCACAGTCCATTGCACAAATAGAGGAGGAACATCCAGGTGGGAGTTTGGGAATTCAGACATCCCACAGACATAGATGTACACAACCGCATAATATTTTCAATTATTCTACATGTAGCTACATATCACCGAAAAATACTAAGGTTAATGCAAGAGAGAGATACTGTTTATCACAGTCCAGTGCACAGATAGAGGATGAACATCCGGGTATGGAGGAAACAGTTGATTCCCACACACACTTAATAGAGGTAGAGGTACACAACCACGTCATATTTTCAATTAGTCTAGCTTACATCACTGAAAAATGCTTGGTTAAGGTATACTCAAGCCCTATCTTAATGTGTTTTAACACTTCAGCATCACTACTAAGTGGGAGATGCTTTCGATGATCAATCACAGTCCAGTGCACAGGCAGAGGATGAACATCCAGAGGGGAGGCAACAGTTGTCTTTTGTTCAGACTCCCACACACACACATTTAATAGGTACACAACCTCGTTATATTTTCAATTATTCTAGGTACATATCACCGCAAAATACTAGGTTAATGCATGCTCAAGACCTATGTTAATGCGTTAACTTTTAACATGTCAACATCACTTACTAAGTGGGAGATGCTGTCAATCACAGTTGGGTGCACAGATAGAGGACGAACATTCACTTCAGATGGAAAGCAACAGTTGTCTTTCGGGAATTCAGATGTCACCCACACACTTAGGTACTGTGCGTCATATTTTCAATTATTCTAGCTACACATCACTGAAAAATTAGGTTAATCTAAAGCCCTATGTTAATGCGTTTTAACACTTCAGCATCACTACTGAGTGGGAGATGCTGGTAATCACAGCTGGGTGCACAGATAGAGGAGGAGCTGCTGACTGTCCAGGAAGGCAACAGTTGTCTGCTAAAAGGGAAATCATGCACACACACACACACACGAAATCCCGCACACACACTCTGTAGAACTTCTTTGCACACACACACACACACACATGCACGCACACACACATGCACGTGCGCGTGCACACACACACACACACATGCACATGTTTGAGTCCATGTTTTATTAGCATGATGATACTGGTATCATTGAAAAATAGGTCAATGTACTCAATTCCCTCCTGTCTTTGAAGACCTCTTTACCTCTAGCTCTTAATTGATTGTAGACTTGTAGTAAACACAATAATGTATATCATGGCACAATTGTACATGTTTGTATTAAGTACTGAGGCCTAGAGTAGATGCAAAAATGGGATATAAGGGAAAAAACGTAGCATGTATGTGGTGAAGGTTTTTTTGATGAGGAATATAGAATTTTGACAATCATTCTTTTCTAGTTGCATGTTCACTTTTGTCAGAAATAATGGATTACGTCAATGCAACTACAATGAATGCAGTGTCACTATGGATGTACTTCAAAGAACCTCTAACCAAACAAACGTTTAACAACCTCTGCACATCCAAGTTCAGCAGAGGCCAGGTCTCCTATGATGGATGGCGCAGATTTTCTGACTATTCCCATGTCCCGCCAGGTTTTATCTGTAGATGCCAGATGTCACATAGGTGGCATACCAAGTGTGCTAACTGCGTTGTTTTCTCTTTCCGCACGTCACGGAGAGCAACCAGATAAGCTGCGTGAACTTCTGATTGCAAATGCCGTGACCTTCAGAGTTTGGTCCCCCCTGGGCTTCACCCCATTGTCGTCATGCAATATGACTTCAGGTAAGTTAAACTCTCTGTAGCGACGTAAGATAACTTTGAGTTGTTTCCAAACACACGTTTCCGTGAGAAAGTGCCTAAAATGGCGTCCAGGGATTCACCAACAAATGTCAACTTGAAGATACATCAAACAATGTCTAGACCTTAGAAAAAGTAGTGTGAATGATGGGTTGAACTCTGATTTAGGAATTACGTTCACTTGACTTATCCATATCCTTATAGCGTTTTCTACATTTCTAGAAGGTTGCTGGATTTAGTGAACACATTCTCTTTGGGACAATTGGGAGCAAAGGTATCGCCGGAAACTTGGAAGATGCATGGGAGAGTTGATAGCCTTTGATCATTCTCAGGTTGTACAATGGATGGTGCTGTCTGGTGATTAGCTTTGTTCCCGTGTCACATTCTGTCTCTGGTCTCCAGACAATCTATTGGTGGTGTCTCATTCATTAAAATCCATC